CTGTGTCAAAGGGGCCACTTTCTTTCCCTGTCTCGGAAATAGGACTTGTTCACTGTGGGAAGGCTGTTCTCCCACCTTCAGAGTCCTGCCCTAGTCCTTCACACAGGGTTTCACGTCTTGGAAATACTCCGGAGGAAAGTCCTGCCCCCCTCTAGCCTTCAGCCTCTCGCCCCGGGGGAAGTTGGGGGGGTGACTCAATGGGTGAGCTGGGGCTAGGGCGTTGCACACGTCCTGAGTGGGCTCTTTGGCCCTCGTTTGTGTGGAAGTGGGGTGTGTGGACCTCCCGGAGCCTCTCCACGGCTCACCTGTCAGCCCTGCGCCTGAGATGCAAGAAGTGCGGCCGCTTGGCGGTGTGCTGTGACCGAGTGAGTTCCAGGGAAAGTTCTGGAAAACTTCATTTTGGCCCCGTGTCCAGGTCACATTCTCCAACCCGGTTTCACTGTGGTTATTTATCAACTGACTTAGGAATCAGAAGGGAGAATGATATGTTACTTGGCACCATGAAGTACGCAATAGCTAAGGCAGCCGATCACTGGGGGCTGGTCTCCGCATGACAGGGATGCGGACCAGGGAGCTGCGGAGGACGCACCTCCCGCCTGTCGTGTGGCTAAAAGGCACAGAACATGCCTCTGCTAGAAAACAAAGCAGAGGCGAAGACAACGTCGGAATCAAGCATGAGAAGATCGAAGTGCCGCGACCGGTCTGACGATGGAGAAGGCCTCTGGGGACAGGCAGCACAGGAAACAGGGACCCCCGTCCTACAACAGCAAATGCGTTCTGCCAAGAACTGTCGTGAGCTTGAAAGAGGGACCTGAGGAGGAGATGAAAATGCAGCCAACTGACACCTGGATTTCAGTTTCATGGGACACTAGCAGAGAACCCAGCCAGTTCCTTCCAGACTTCGGATCTCCAGAAGTATGATATACCAAATGTGTGTTGTTTTAAACCACACACACACACACACACACACACACACACACACACACACAGAGAGAGAGAGAGAGAGAGAGAAAGAAAGAAAATAAAGCAGTTGTGTAGCGAGAAGCAGAGTCAAGTCACTGAGAAGTTCTGAAGGCTCCAGCCCCTCTGGGAGCCCAGCAGCAGTCCACTGGCCCTAGGTTCTGTGCAATACCACTAGTCTTGCATGGTCTTTCTTTTTTGCTTAGGCTAGCTCAAGTTGCTTTTATAAATTTCCAAGAATACCGAACAACCCATTCTCTATTTCATTACTCTCATCTGTAAACCGTAGTTTGAATTCTTGTCCTATGTATCTTCCTAAGAGAAGAAAATGAGGCAATAGAGACAGAAACAATCACAAGCTCTTAAGAGTCCCTTGGATATGTCCCCAATAAGTAGCTGTCCAGCCTTTTTCCTTGACAGGAAATCACTGTTTCTTGAGGCAAACTGTTCTCTTTTCAAAGTTCTCTAGTTGCTAGAAAATAGATACATAGATGAAGTCGAAATTTTCTTCCCTGTAACTCCCCCACGTTTATCCCAATTCTGACCTCTTGGGTCACACAGAATAAATGCAGTCTCTACAGCCCTTGAAGTTCATGAAGACAGCTGTCCAGTTCTCACTGAAGCCTTTTCCTGTCGAGGCTGAATGGTCTTAGGTCATTTAAGCATGTCACAATTTCCCTGCATCACAGTGCCTAGAAGGAGCAAGTAAGTTTGGACATATGAGTTAGAGAGAAAAAAAATTTTGATCGTCTTCATCATTGAAGAAGAAAACATTCGTCGTTAATAAGGCAATCAGAGAGCACATTCACATTTTTATGGTGTTTCCAAATTCCCAACAGATATTTTCAGGATTTAGAGGGAAAAAAAAGGAATTACCAGGAATTCTCACATCATAAGTTATTTCATATTTTTATAGTTATGTGATTTTACATAATGATGGGTGACCATAATAAGTATCATTTTTCAATGATAGAGTTATACTAAAAGTTTCAGAGGTTTTCTATAAAAATAAAGACAATTTGTACATGTTACAAGAGCATATATTTCAAAAACGTTTAAATGATCTCTACCCAATAACAGAAAAAATTAAAGAAAGAGAAAATTTACACTGAACACCAAATAAAACTGATTTAAAAAATGGAAAGGCATTAAAAATATTTAAGTTATCAGTGTTTAAAAAAAATGAAAATACACAAAACATGAATTGCCTTTGCTGATAGTCTTTTTAAAAAATATTTTTTCTTTATTGATTTTAGAGGGGAAGAGAGAGGGAGAGAGAGATAGAAACATCAATGAGAGAGAACATCGATTGGCCGCCTCCTGCATGCCCCCCACTGGGGATCAGGCCCACAACCTGGGCATGTGCCCTGATTGGGAATCGAACCAGTCATCTTTTGGTGCATGGGTCAACGCTCAACCACTGAGCCACACTGGCTGGGTGACAGTCTTGATCTTTGTGTTACAACAAATATTCTAGATGTAGAAATATTTATTTCATTTTGCGTTGATATTTGTTGAATTAAGAGCATCTTAAAATTGAGCAACTCTGGGGCTCACAGCTTCATATAAGTGCCTTTATTTAATTTTATTTTGTGTACTTGCCTTGAGTTTGGAAATTGATATTGCTTTTGATAGTTGACTTTTAGATTAGTTTCCGATTTCACGTTGGAACGCTGCACAACTCATTTCTTCTTTGCATTTCTTCTATTCAAGTATTTGGTCCTTCTTATAACTAAAAACGCTGGGCGTAACTCAACAAACACATGGAGACTCTGAAGGTTGAAAAGTGGAAGGTGGACTATCGAGTCACCTTGGGTCTTGAGGACTGATATGGCAGTGTGTTTCCTGTTGCCCACTTTTCTCTGTCTTTTTTTTGTTAAGTAGCCATGATTCAAAATATGTTGTTTATAGAAACATGTACTGATTTTTAATTTTTAAAATGAATTAAACACAAATTTAAGATGTTTTTGTTTTAATTTTTAATACAGTAAGTATGGACATATATATCCCACACAGACACAATCACTTTATTTATTTATTTAATTAATTAATTTTTTTATCCTCACTCGAGGACATTTTTTTCCATTTTTTTGTTCAGATAGAGTGGGAGGGAGAGAGAGGAATTGAGAGAGAGAGAGAGAGAGAGAGAGATTACCGTGAAAGGGGCACATTGAGTGGTTGCCACCCGCACCACCCAACCAGGGCCAGGGACAAACTGCAACTAAGGTACGTGCCCTTAGCGGGAACTGAACCCGGGTCTCTCTGGACCACAGGCCAACGCTCTAAGTGCTGAGCCAAACTGGCCAGGGCCAAACACAATCTCTTGAAAGTCCTCAGTCATGTTAAGACCGTAAAGACAGCTTGAGACCAAAAAGTCTGCAGACCTCTGAGATATCTTGCACTATTTGCTGACTGATTGTAAGTGACTGTAAGCATGTATGGATAGGAGCAGATTTGAATGTAAATATATTCATAGGATTTGTAAGACATCATGTCTAACCATAATTTAATTTCGTACCTTAGGAAGATGTGGTTCATTTTCTCCCTGATGAAATTGATGCCACATGGAGGGCTGTTCTAATGTAAGGAGACAACTAACTCATATTTCAACCACACACATACAGACAAATAGTTTAGAAACGATGGATTTGAAGAAAATGAGATGTTCTGCAGCTTTATCACAGCTACTGCTTTTTTTTTTTGAAATGGACTAATTTTTAGGGCAGTTTTAAGTTTACAGCAAAATTGAGCAGAAAGTAGAGTTCCCAGATATCTCCTGACCCCACACGTGCACAACCTCCCCAACGATCAACATCCCAGCACCAAGTAGTCCATTTGCTGTTACAACTAATGAACCTCATTGACAGATCAGTACCATCCAGTCTATTCATCCCTCCTCCCTAACCCTCGGCACCCAGAGACCTTCCTGTGTCCCTTGTGTTGATTCCATGTAGTTGGAATCTAACCTCTTCAGATGACCTCAGCTTCTTTTTAAGTACGTTTGATGGATTTCCGTGAAAAAGCCAGGTCCTACTTTAGCAACTCTTTTTTATATGTGTAATAAAACCCACACATACATGTCTTTGTTGCTTATTCTGCCCCTTCTAGACAGTCAGCTACCAGGGTCCATCTCTTTAATTGGGGGCCACAGCACCCCGAGTCCAGTCCACTTTACAAATAGGTCCCCTCCCCTATGTGCTCTTGGAGTTAAATCCTTAAGGAATGGCAAGAAAGAGCTTCCCCCACTTTCACTACTTCAGGGACAGATAAGAAAAACTATGAAAGCAGCGTATACCCTCAGGAGACTCCAGGAGTTGTATCTGAGTTCCCACACCTTTAGATTTATCACAACTTCGACCAGATGCATGGCTCCGATTGGCCTTCAGGGCTTTGCAAAGGCACAGAGCAGCGGGCCAGCAGTGTCCGGAAGGCAATGAAGCCCTAAGGGGGGACACCGCTGGGGGAGGGGTAAGAAAACAGAGGAAAAGTGTTCTCTGTGTTTGCGAATTCTAGGTCGCGCTTGCTTCGCGGGTTGCGATGACCCAATGCCCAGTTTGCACATTTGTAATGACCCAATGCCCAGTTTGCACATTTGTAATGACCCAATGCCCAGTTTGCACATGTGCAAGCAAAGGGTGAGGCTTGCAGTGGAGTTTCTCCCAAGTCCGCACCCGCGCTGGTTATTCCCGCGGGCGGGCTTTGCGCACCGCGGGGAAAACACGCGGTTAGGAGCGGCGACCTCTGGCCACCACAGCTGCGCAGTCAACGCCACTGCCAGGGTCCGGCTTCCGACCCTTACACACGGGAAGGGGTGGGGACGGTTTCCGAGACTCCAGCTCCACGTGGCCCTCCGGGTCAGGAGGGCGGCGCTGCGTTTAGAAGAAAGGGCTGAGCAAGGGCTTGCTGGACGATCCGTCGTGATCCGTCGTAAATCCCGACCAGGTTTTGCTTACCGCGCGGCGGGGGCGGGGCTTGGCGCTGGCGCAGCGCGCCGGGGGGCGGGGGTGGGGCTTGACGCCGGCGGAGGGCGGGGCCGCGCGGGCCTTCCCCTGGGCCGAGCTGCGCAGCGGGTGCGGAGGGCGGGCGCCCGGCGGCGGGTGGGGGGCCTTGAAACTGGTGCGGGTGGGCCGGTGCGCCGCCGCCAGGTGGGCCGCAGGGCCCGGGACCCTCCTCGGGGGTGGCCGCAGGCGGGGCGGCCCTTGCAGGGGTCGGAGGGCTGCCGGCCGGGGCTGGGGCCATGTGTGTCTGCTCGCGTGCTGATTTGAGGCCGCCTCTGCTGCCGGCTCCTCCGGCGCCCGCCACCCCAGCCCCAGCCGACCGCTCCTCCACCGCGCCCCAAGGCAAGGACCGGCCCCAGGTCCAGGCCGGGAGGGCGCGCTGTGGGCACGCGCTGCCCCCGCCTGGAAGTGTTGGGCAGGTGGTGGGAGTTCCTAGGGCATGAACTTCAGGATTTTAAAACATGTGTCTGTCTCTGTCATTTTTTACTTTTAGGATTTTGGCCAAATTGGGCGAGGGCACAAAATATCCACTTACCCCTTCTCACCGAGGAAGAGCGGGAGAAAGGGTAAGTAAGGTATCAGGGATGGAGGGAGCCAGGACAGGCCCAGAGACAGAGCAGGGGACACTAGGGCTAGAGCCAGAGCTGCCCCCGGGGATCTTGCGGCCCCGTTCCACGTTTTCATAAGGAATCCGAGGCCCGCCTTCAAGGGTCACATTCTCCAAGGCCAAGAGTTTTTTCGGGCTTACAGCGTGGAGTTGGCTGGCCCTTTGCCCTTACCCTTGGCTGTGGAATGCTGGCCGGTACCTCTGAGGTCTGACTCATCCCTGGGGCAGTACAATTAAAGACTCCTGGTCCTTTTAGATAACCAACAGGAACCTTCCAAGGATGTTTGCATTTGTAAAGGGGACTCCTGTAAACATTCTTGAGGACCCCGGAAGTGTCAAGTTAATTAGCAGTATCACAGGTGTTGAATTTCTTCTGGGGTCTTCTCTCTGGCTTATAGAGGAAGGTGTCTTGGGCAGGGAGAAATGAGCAGGCTAAGCCTCTTTTCACTTTTGCTACCCCCTTACCAGCATTCTCTTCTTTCTGAAAAGTTGCCAAACAGCACATCGAAGTCCTTGGAGGTTGGAAGTGATGGTCACTGTGGTCTTTTTCCTTGGTCCTTTTCTGGGAATTTTCCGCCACTCACCAGCACCTCACTTCCCCCTCCTCATATTGGTGGAATGAAACCCAGCTCCTCTCAGAAGTTTGGGAATACCTGCATCCGATGTGTCACATAGAAACAGACTTTTTGAATTCGTTGAATTTCAGGTTAGCTACGAGCAAGAATGGGGGAGAACCATACTCTGGGTTATCACACAGGGATCTGAGACATGGGCCGCTTGTGGCCTGAACTTGCCTTTTTATTTGTTTGACTCAAGTAGCAAGTGACCATATCATTTACTTTCTGAAAACCCAGAAAATAGTTGTTTATTGATGATGGGTTCATTCACTGATTCAACAGATATTTATCTGTTAATAAGTAGGTTGATGGAATGATAAAATTGTGATGGAAATGTCTGTTTTGGGTCAGGCCTTCTTTACCAGTTTTCCGTGGATTTTGTGTTATTAAGTGTTCACGTACAAGACCTTCCCTGTGCCCTGGCCGGTTTGGCTCAGCGGTTAGAGCGTCAGCCTGTGGTCCAGAGAGACCCGGGTTTGGTTCCCGCTAAGGGCATGTGCTTCGGTTGCAGTTTGTCCCCGGCCCTGGTTGGGTTGTGCGGTGGCAGCCACTCGATGTGTCCCTTTCACATCGATGTTTCTCTCTCTCCCTCCCTCCCACTCTGAACAAAAAAATGGAAAAATGTCCTCCAGTGAGGATTAAAAAAAAAAAAAGACCTTCCCTATGCTACTGACCTTCTGGTGTACGGGTCTGGTGCTTTCACTAGTAAACTTTCAGGGCTGACTGACCATGGTGATGTGAGTCCTATAATGAATAGTGTGGTCATTTCCCAGGGTAGTGAGTGTATTATACAGTATCATAATTAGATGAGGATAGTTTTTGGAATTCTTATACAGATGACCCTAGATGAAGAAGGATGGAGAATATAGGGATGATACACTTAGGAATATAAATGCTAAGGTCCACTCACATGGGTTTCTGTACATTAACCTCATTTTTTATCGAAGGGAAAGAGTGTCTTTTTCTGGTTGCAAAGGTTTCAGAAGGTTATTTAAAATGGGATCTTGCAAGGATACAAAAGGTAGAAAGTGAGTCTCCTCTGAATTCACTCTCACATGACCGCTGTCAACAATTCGTGTTTCTTTCTTTGACTTTTAATTTCATAATTATATATTACTAGTCGGCAAAATTCTAAAGTTCTGCCTTTTATCTCAGTATTTTTGGCTACTGACCACCATTCCCGTTCCGCCCCGAGCCCTCGGCAGAAGCAGCGTGCCTTCTCATGCCGTCTCTTGGACGTGAGCTTGATTCCTGCCTCTGGTCTTGTCAGCTGTGCCCCTCAGACCGCTGAAAACTTCTCTGCTCCCTAACTTCTCATCTGTCAGAACAGAACGATGAGAATGTTAAATGTTAGATGAGTGTGTAGAAAAGCCAGTGACTGACCCTGTTCATTTCTCTCCCTGTTTCTCTCTATGATCACCCATCACTTTATGACCTTTCCTGTGATTGTGAAAAAGCAAACTAGTATTTAACTTTCCTGAAGGCGCTAAGCCTGCTGGGTGCTTGCATTTTCGCAGCAATCACCTGTTATATCTGATCCTAGAAATTCTGGGACCAGGACTGACACTTGACATGCTCCGCCCCGCCCCACAGCCCCTCCAGAGCCCTGCCTGCACGCAGTGCCAGCTGGGGATGGGTGTGTGTGTGTGTGTGTCTGTAATGTGTTGAAGAGGTTCCGACACTGCTCCCCCAGTGAGAAAAACACTACTATTTCTAGCCGAGTGCCCCAAGTTAGGATTCCTATTTCAGAAATGTCTGTGGCTGTAAGACAATAAAAATGCTGTTTCATGTCCGTACTGTCATGATTTTGCCAAGTTGTGGGTTTAATAATGCAGCCCCGCTGTGTATTTAGTGAACCTAATGCTGCAGGAGAAGCCAGGAAAGACAAGTGCACAGACACCTGATTACACGCCGGACACCCGGCTGCACTTTGCTAAGTACGTTTTGTTGGTAGACATAGGCCTTTCCGCTGTATTCCTGTAGTTTGTGGCATTTCCATCATTAGTTCTTATCTGCAGGGTTTAGTAGGATGTTTTATCTAAATGACAGCCCACTGTACATGAGCCCCTGGCCAGAGAGGCGCATATCCCCCAGGTGCCTCCCGTGTTGTTCTTCACACAAGTTAACAAGGCGGAATAGTTTCCATCCTTGTGATTTTTACTTATTTATTTTTATTCCTCATCGAGGATACTTTTCTATTTATCATCAGATAGAGTGGGAGGGAGGAGAGAGAGACAGGAACATCCACTGGTTGCCTCCCACACGACCCGACCAGGACCAGGGACGAACTGCAGCCGAAGTACATGGCCTTGACCAGAATCGAACCCGCGACTCATTGGTCTGAAGGCCGATGCTCCAACCTCTGAGTCAAACTGGCCAGGGCTATCCTTAGTGACTTTAAAATTTTTATGTATTTATTTTAATTTTTTTTCTTTATAGATTTTAGAGAGAGGGGGGAAAGGAGAGGGAGAGAGATAGAAACGTCGATGACAGAGAACATCGACTGGCCGCCTCCTGCATGCCCCACACTGGGGATTTAGGCCACAGCCTGGGCATGTGCCCTGACGGGGAATCGAAGCAGCAACCTCTTGGTGCATGGGTCAATGCTCCACCACTGAGCCACACCAGCTGGGTGATTTTTTGGTGGAAGAAAAACATTCTTAAAGAAAAGTCCCATTTAAGAACACTTTGTATCTTATTTTCAAGTTCATTTTGTTTGTAATGCTGATCAGGATAATAGAGCTTAGATTTCTAGGATAGGACCCCAAAGCCTTTTTACCTCATTGTACGCCTGTGATGTGAGTGGTCCGGTAGACTCCCACCAACACTTAGAATAGTGTTTTGGAGAATCATGCATTCAGAGTTCCAACCTGGAGCGGCTCGCCCACGTCCCCTTCATTTAGAGAGGTCAGGGCGGTGGGAACACTCCGGAGGCTGTCGTTCCTGGGTTCTGGGGCAGGCTCTGTGATCTTGACACGGATGCCTCATCTGTAAAATGGGGTAATGACTCATGATCACTGTCAGATGGTGTGTTTGTGAAGTAGACCCACATCAGGTACCACACGAGTCCTCAGCAAAGTGTCGTTTCACTTCCTTTCCTCTAGGTCCTTGCCCCAAGAACAGGGCTCCCCGCCTCTCTCACTTCCCAGAGTCGCCCCCGGCCAGGCCTGGTGGCACCAACCTGGGGGAATCCCCCTGGAACCTGGGATTTGGCTGTGGGGACCGGGAAGGGCTGTGGAGGGCAGTGACAGAGGGGAGGAGCGGTGAGGTGAGGGGGGAAGGGGCTGGTTTTCTGCTTAGTCCACGGACGTAGGTCGATGAATTCCATGACTCAGAAAGAACCCCCTTCATATCTGGCTCCCGGCTGGCCTTTGTCAGCTGCTCTGCTGAAGACTCTGACCTCCTCTTTGCCTGCTGAGTCCAGTGATCAGTTTTTTTTCCTTTGTCACTTTGATCCTACTGGATAATCTTGTATTTCTGTCTTTTTTTTTTTATTATTATTTTTATGGATGGGACTTTGGAATAGAGTCTGTACTTCCTTAGGCTCTGGACTTTCTCTACACTCACAGTCCAGTGGGTATCTTCTCGACCTTTCATTGGCCTGTGGTTCATTCATTCATTCTTAAAAGTTTTTAAAAACTATATGCTATGTGTATTGAATTTACTAGAAAGATGAAAAAGCATTGTCCTTGCCCTGGCCGGGTTGGCTCAGCGGTTAGAGCATCTGCCCATGATTGAAGGGTCTCGGGTTCAATTCCTGGCCAAGGGCACGTACCTGGGTTGCAGGTTTGATCCCCGGCCCTGGTTGGGGTGGGGTAGGAGGCAACCAATCCATGTGTCTCACATCGATGTTTCTCTCTCCCCTCCCTCCCTCCCTCCCTCCCTTCCACTCTCTCTAAAAGTCAATGGAAAAATATCCTCAGGTGAGGATTAAAAAGTCACTGTCCCTGCTCAAGGAGGTTATAGTCCAGCGAACAATAGACATCTTTAGACACACTTGGAGTGTGGTGTGCGATTCTCCATAACCCCGGCAGGTGCAGGGCAAGAACCAGGAGCGGAGCGCGCTGACCCCTGGTGGAAGTGCCGGGGAGGTTCCGGCCCTGTGAGCTGAGCCCTGCAAGCTGAGTGGAGGGGCAGGTTGAGGAGCAGAGAGCCTTCCAGGTGGACCAGCTGGCAGAGTCCTTGCATGGCCCTCCGGGAGCAGAGTGACTTCCGGGAACTCTCTGTAGGTCAGCAAAACCGGGCCGCGCAGGGCAGAGTCAGGAGTGACGGGAGCAGCGGCTAACCCAGGGCCACTCTGTGCCCCATGTGTACAGTGACCCACTGAGTTCGGTGACACGCA